CCCATAATGCCCACTAATGTCTTCAATCCCAAGTGGATTTCTTGCTTTGAATTGGAGTGTTGTTTAAAAGGACTAAAACAGGGTTCCATTTTTAACCCTTTGGTGCTAAATTAAGACATATTCCCACCATATGTGTAGCCTTAGTGTTCTTCAAATTAATCCAGCATTTAGAAGGCCAAAGAGACCACTGCTGAAATCTGAGGATCCTTTCCTTTCTCTGGTCCCAACTGCAATCCAGCTGGGTGGGGCCGTCTGTACTCATTCCTAATACCGCGCCTCCCTGCTTAAAAGACATCTCCAGATTTTGGAAGGAATTCATCAATAGTCATAAGCTATTTGGCCCTAGATCTACCCACTTGGGAGATTTAGAACTTTTCTAAAAATCCAGCTCATGAGTGAAGAAATTAGTGTGTGTTTGTGCGTGCGTGCGTGTGTGTGCGCGCGCGCGCGCAAGTTTTTAGCACAATGAACGAGAGCGCCACCTGCTGGGAACACCGGAACTTCCTGGACTGGCAAATTGCAGAGCAAGTTTCCTGGACTCCCTGCATTTGAATCGCCTGACACCCACCAGTTAGAAATGAAGACTCCGGGTCTCTAGTCCCATTGGATCTCTGCAGGTGGGGTCGAGAATCAGTATTTTTTTTAAACCAGTCCCCTGGCACTTTAAGGTTTCAGAGGCAAATGCCTTAGTTCCCAAGCTCGCCTGATAAGAAGCAGGGGAGAATGCTTGTTTACAGTACTTTCCCCCAGTCACTCCTCCGGCTACTGAATCAGGGCCTCCAAGGAAAGAGCTGTAGTAAGAATGCTGAGTCTTAAAAGATGAATGTTTGGTAAATATTGCAGAGTTGAACGCCATACTTGACTCGAGAAATTCTCCATAAATAAGGAGCACACGTGCAGTTCATTGACAATGGGGATCTACTAGTAGAACATCCAGATGTGGGGATTTGGCAATAGTCCCTGGGTTTCCTGTCCTGTCATTTTTAATTCAGCTCTGGAGTTTGAAGTTCCAGCCCATCCCTTAAAATTGTTGCCCTTAAAACCCAGGCTCCCAATGGCTGTGTCTGTAATACCAACTAATAAATCAGTAATGCCAACTCCCCCCGGCCCCCC